CCTTGGATATGATGCACCAAGACGGATCGATGACTCCTTGGATATGACACACCAAGACGAGCCAAGTTGCTCAATGGATATTACACACCATTGAAAGAAAAATGAGAATCACTCTCAAGATTCCAAAAATAATAATCAAAGGCTTAATTTTTTATTCATCAAATGAGCCTCTTTATATAGAGGAAATTACATGAAAAACGTCTATAATAATATCTTAACATGCAGAGCTTCTAGGGAAACAAAATTCAACTCTCAATTGCATATAAGAAAGAGAACAACACTTCAATAAATGCCACTTTGAATCTTGACGAAAATCTTATCTTCCTTGATAGCTTTTGGGCCGAATCCAACTTCATGGGCTTCTCTAATGGATCAAGATCGTAGACAATTCGGTTTGTAGCTTAACTCATTCTGGTCTGATCGGAATTCGTCATTGAATGCGCTCGGGTCTGAACCGGGTTTATAGGAAATCACATGTTTTGTAAATTGAATAACTTCTTCGTTTGAACTCCGTTTGATGTGATTCTTCTTCGAGATGTTCCGTAAATGAGCTGAAAATATTTTTCAATTTGTTTCATGCGTTGAATCGGCATAGTTGAGTAGATACACTTCGAATAGTGAGCATATGTCTTTTCTGGTCAGATTCGAAATGTGCATCCGGTTTGATTGAGCTCCGATTCAGCTGCTGGTTTGCCGACCCATCATAATTTCCGTGTTTCTTCCCATGATCATATCAGAACCACACACAAACCAACGAGCCAAAACTACGCACCATCTACCAAAAATCACTCCATAGTCTCGGATAGCACAGAGCACTTTCTAGCTTATGTGATCCCCTTATCTTTGAATCCTCGATGGGTGTCTTAGGTTTTAGCCGTTAGGTTCTGGACCAGAAATGTCATCAAGTCGCGGTTCAACCGAGGAAACCGGCCAGTCCGGTCCAGGTTTAAAAATATATTTGTGGTCTTCCTTTTATCTTTTCAACGTTGTTGTTACAGTCACCTAAATTGAAAAAGTTGC